GAAGAGCGCGTACGTGAAGCTTTCGATTTCGACAGGATATCCTTCTACAGTAAACAGAATTCTTAATGAGACGTGTATTATGTTATTACCGTTCCAAATATTAATTCACTGCAATCAGTGGGGCGTCTATATATGGTGTCTAAAAACAAATCATTTGGAAAACGAAATAATCGTACTAAAAAAATTTTGGCTGTACGGTGTCGAAACTGTAAGGAGTAAGTTTCGAATTATATAAATATAATTCCGAATAGATTGCTACTTTAACAGAAACTAATATATACTTTAGAAATCGAACAGCATAAGAAGTACGTATTAATAGTTTGTAATAGTAATCAGTGAAATGTGAATTTCTTTTTTAATTTTAATTCATTATAGAAGAATATTTATTGTGGTTTCACCCCTTAAAGTTGCGTCTCAGCCGATAAAAAAAATACGTATCCCTTATTTTTTACTGCTCAACAGACGTACGAAGTTTCATCAAAATCGAAGGGGGACATTTCCGTGCCTTTCCTTGTCAGTTTTCTCAGTTTAGAAACTAGTGGAGATAGAACAATTAAGAACTAGAGCGACGAAATAGAGGTATACTGTATACACGAAAGAAAGTCGTGCAATCTAATAAATCGTAAAAATCACACGAACATTTCATTAAATTCTTAACAGTAGCCAATGTATTCTACAGTTCAGTACAGTAGGACCTCCTAATATAAAAAGTTTTTTATAATATAACAGAGGAGCTCCTAATACAAAACTTTTTTTTTGATATAACAGAAAATAATATGCATTTTATTTCATTTTACAACAACAGAAATGTAAAGTTTTTTCATTATATGTATTATTAATAGACTGCGGATTTTATGCATTTACAGCAAATTAAGGGCATTGTGTAATACAATAAAGAAAAAACTTTCATCAGATGCAATGTGTTTTCTATTTTATTCTGAACCGAATAAGATATTTGAGAGAAGTAAGAAATTCCTACCTTAGCTGTTGTCTTAAAAAATTACTTGAAAAAATGTTATTTTGCATAAATATCCGCAGACTAATTATTAATTTTTAGTTTGCGATATAGAAGTACCGTGTTATACGGGGTCCTACTATACTACATTTGGTAAGTCCGCGGAACATTATCAAAACTATTGTACGTGGAAGCATTCTCTGGGTAAGAATTTCTGACAAAAGTGTTTCTTCTTTCTTTCGAAGCGTGCTGGAAGACACGAAGGTGGAAAGAGATGGAAAAAAAGGAATACGAAAAGCAAGGGGGAAAAGAAAACGAAGTAACAACAGGTTTTCGAAACAGGAGACAATCCGCGGGATGGACAGGGACATACGAACCGGTCAATCGTTTTTTCTTTCACGAGAGAGAAAAGAAAAAAGCAACAAATGAAATTTCGGGGCCTCCGTCCTGGCTATAAAAATTCTATTTACACGAAACTGTTACAAATCGAAGAAAGAAAATTTGAAAGATATTGGGAACCGGTGGTCAACGGCTGGCTCGGGGTACCGTTTACAATAATCGGACAAACGTTTCCTTTTTGCGAAAGAAGTAAAAAAAAAAAAAGGGAGGAGTTTCGAAGCAACATCGGGCTATAAACGTTCTATTTATAGAAAACTGCAAGAAATTCAGGAAAGGGAAAAGGACATTCCAACCGTCGTCTTACATGGCTGAGAGTGATGTTTATGTGCGGTAATATAATTTCTAAGGAAATATGTGCGCGTACGTAGAAGCGATCAATTGTGTATGTGGTCATTATCTTCCTGTATGATTCCCTCGTATTCGTAAATTTATAGATGCTCTTGTTATAGTTCATTTTCAGATATTAGTCCGGTAACCTTTTTAATTTCTTGGCGATTTTATTTCCCTATCTCGCAGATATTAATGCTCTTACAAAGTAGGGTAGATCGAGGCGAATCGGATCAGTTTCAATTTGACAGTAAGAAAATAATAGTTAAAGTTTCGAAAGCTAATTATGTATTATAAATTCGTAATTAGTACACATTTAACTTGAACATTAATGATAAAAAAATAAAAGAAACTTAAAAATGTTTCTTTTGCAAACAAAAAACGAAAAGGTGAGAAATAGTCGATTCGCCATAAAAGTTGGGGCGAATC